ATCAATCTGTAATAAATGCTTTTATTTATGTATCAATATATTATTTTGTATATCAATATCCAATAAATACTTTAATTTGTGTATCAATTAATAATTTCTTTCTGTATCAATCTATAATAAATACTTTGATTTGCATATCAATTAATAATTTGTTTCTGTATCAATCTACACTAAATATTTTAATTTGTGTATTAATTAATAATATTTTGTTTCTGGATCAATCTATAATAAATACTTTGATTTGTGTATAAATTAATAATAATTTGTTTCTGGATCAATCTACAATAAATACTTTTATTTGTGTATCAATAATTTGTTTCTGGATCAATCTATAATAAATACTTTGATTTGTGTATCAATATATTACTTTGTATATCAATCTACACTAAATACTTTAATTTGTGTATCAATTAATAATTTGTTTCTGTACAATTATAATAAATGCTTTTATTTGTGTATCAATATATTACTTTATATATCAATCTACAATACTTTAATTTGTGTATCAATTAATATTTTGTCTCTGTATCAATCGACAATAAATACTTTGTGTATCAATAATTTGTTTCTGTATCAATCTATAATAAATATTTAGTGCATTAATCTATAGTAAATACTTTTATTTGTGTATTAATCTATAATAAATGCTTTCATTTGTGTATCAATATATTACTTTGTGTATCAATCTACACTAAATACTTTTATTACTTTGTGTATCAATAATTTGTTTCTGTATCAATCTATAATAAATATTTAGTGCATTAATCTATAGTAAATACTTTTATTTGTGTATTAATCTATAATAAATGCTTTCATTTGTGTATCAATATATTACTTTGTGTATCAATCTACACTAAATACTTTTATTAGTGTATCAATTAATAATAATTTGTTTCTTTATCAATCTATAATACTTTGATTTGTGTATCAATCTATTACTTTGTGTATCAATCTAAATTAAATACTTTTATTTGTGTATCAATAATAATTTGTTTCTGTATCAATCTATAGCAAATACTTTTATTTGTGTATCAATTAAGAATTTGTTTCTATATCAATCTACAATAAATACTTTTATTTGTGCATCAATTAATAATAATTTGTTTCTGTATCAATCTATTATAAATACTTTTATTTGTGTATCAATTAATAATAATTTCTTCCTGTATCAATCTATAATAAATACTTTGATTTGTGTATCAATCTATATTACCTTGTGTATCAATCTATAATAAATATTTAGTGCATTAATCTATAGTAAATATTTTTATTTGTGTATTAATCTATAATAAATGCTTTTCTGTATCAATATATTACTTAATTAATATAATAAATTATATCATTTGTGTATCAACCTACAATAAAAACTTTTATTTGTGTATCAATTAATAATTTGTTTCTGTATCAATCTGCAATAAATGCTTTTATTTGTGTATCAATCTATATTACTTTGTGGATCAACCTACAATAAATATTTGTGTATAGAGCTAAACACACACATGTATAAATTATAAATAAATATTTGTGTACAAAATAAAGATCTTATTTCTGTATCTAACTACAATTTGTGAATCAACCCCTGATTTTGGGCCAGCACAGAAAAATTCCGTGAGCAGCACTCACCATTGTCTGGGCCCTGAAGTTTCATGGAGTACAGCTTGACAGGCTGGCTGAAAGCGACTGTGATCAACAGCTGGGGAGGGAAAATCACAATTATTACACCCCAATTCCTGATGGGAAATCAGTTACACCCCAATTCCTGATGGGAAATCAGTTACACCCCAATTCCTGATGGGAAATCACAGTTACACCCCAATTCCTGATGGGAAATCACAGTTACACCCCAATTCCTGATGGGAAATCACAGTTACACCCCAATTCCTGATGGGAAATCACAGTTACACCCCAATTCCTGATGGGAAATCACAGTTACACCCCAATTCCTGATGGGAAATCACAGTTACACCCCAATTCCTGATGGGAAATCACAGTTACACCCCAATTCCTGATGGGAAATCACAGTTACACCCCAATTCCTGATGGGAAATCAGTTACACCCCAATTCCTGATGGGAAATCTCAGTTACACCCCAATTTCTGATGGGAAATCACAGTTACACCCCAATTCCTGATGGGAAATCACAGTTACACCCCAATTCCTGAGCTGGAACCAGGAAAAATCACAATTACACCTGGGATCTGTGTCTGCAACCAGGAAATGGGGATAAAAAGGAAGGAAAAATCACAATTACACCTGGGATCCTCCTCTGGAACCAGGGAAAATCACAATTACACCCGGATTCCTCCTCTGGATCCAGGAAATGGGGATAAAAGGGTGGAAAAATCACAATTACACCCGGGATCTGTGTCTGGAACCAGGAAAAATCACAATTACACCTGGGTTCCTGATCTGGAAGCAGGAAATGGGGATAAAAGAGAGGAAAAATCACAATTACACCCGGGTTCCTGATCTGGAAGCAGCTCAGCCCAGGAAATGGGGACAAGGGAGCTCAGCAATGATGGGATGTGTCCTTTCCCCCCACCCCACACCTTCTGGCTCTGTTTCCCAGCAACAGGAGCTGAATTCCCCTGGAAGTGTGGATCCCAGCCCTGTGGAACACACCTGCTCGTCACAGTCGGACTCCAGGTAGGAGGAGTCCTTGCGCAGACAGTTCTCGAAGCCGTGCTCGTCGCTCTCGTTCAGGCACTCGCAGCCGGCCTTGTTGATGAAGGGCAGCAGATCCATCTGAGAACAGAGAATTTTTAATATTTTTAATAAAAATACATCTCAATATTTCAATATTTCATCTTTTCTGGAATGGAAGGGCAGCAGATCCATCTGGGGACAGCTGGGAAAACTGGGATGGCTCAGGAGCTTCAGCACTAAACTCCCATCACTGGGAAGATTTTCATTTTTAACAAAAATACATCTCAATATCTCAATTTCCCACTTTTTCTGGAGTGGAAGGGCAGCAGATCCATCTGGGGACAGCTGGGAAAACTGGGATGGCTCAGGAGCTTCAGCACTAAACTCCCATCACTGGGAAGATTTTCATTTTTAACAAAAATAAATCTCAGTATTTCAATATTTCGTCTTTTCTGGAATGGAAGGGCAGCAGATCCATCTGGGGACAGCTGGGAAAACTGGGATGGCTCAGGAGCTTCACCACAAAACTCTCATCACTGGGAACACCTCCATTTTTAACAAAAATACATCTCAATATCTCAATTTTTCAGGAACGGGAAGCCCAGACAAGCCATTTCCTCAGACAAAACCCAATGATGTGACCTACAGGATGTTTGAAACTCAGGGTTTTTAACACTCCACCAGCATCCTGGTACCACTCACGTATCCTTTGGGGATGTCTGTGTCTTCGCTGTTGCCGGGGTCGTTCTCCAGGTGCTGTTTGATTTTATCCTCCAAGCCCACGGCGTCTGCTCCCTGGTACTGGTCAATCCGCACTTTGTTCCGGAAGAACAGGAACGTGGGTGTTGCCGAGATGTTGTTGGTGGCAGCCGTGCCCTGGGAGAAGGAAACAGTCAACACTTCACAACTGCAGCACCTCCAGCTCCCAAATCACCCCGCTGAGAAATCCATTCCACTTTTAATAATAAAATATAAATCCATTTATTCCGCTTCTCGCCTCTGCGCTCCGAAAACTCCACCTGTATTTGTAACTTTTCTCTAAAAAGTCTTTTTTCTGTTTCTTTGTTTCTGCTACATCTCTTTTGTGTTTTTCTGTTTATTCTTGGATTTCTCAGCCTCCTTTGGACTGAATTCTTTTGGGATCCTCAATTATTGTTCTCTAACTTTTTCACCCAGTGATTTAAAAAACTTTCTGATTTACACACCTACACTTTTAGCTTTTTCTATCTAACTTTAACATTTCTTTTCATGTATCACCATGAAAACATGCTCATGAATTTCATATTACATGAAATTCAATGTTTTTCTGGATCTCTGAACTAAATATCAGAAAAAAGGGCACACACTCTGGATTGCAGACTCCAACAATACTTGGCTTTTAAATCCCGCTCGCGCTGTTCAATTAATTGAAGTAATGAATGAATTAATGAGCTTTTGCTGAAAAAGGAAGGAATATTCTCTGGGAGGATTCCACTTCCCTGCTTTTCCAAACCCTTCCAAACCTGGCACTGGTGCACATCCACCTCCAGGAATGTTGCCTGCGGGTATTTGTTGCTCAGGGCGCTGAAGGCGGGCGCGATCCGCAAGCAAGGCCCACACCTGAGGGAAAAAAAATTACACTTCTTAAAAATCTTCATTTTTTAGTTTTATTTTTTATTTTATTTTTTATTATTTTTATTTTATTTTTATTTTATTTTTATTTTTTATTATTTTATTTTTATTTTTATTATTTTTATTTTTATTTTATTTTTTATTATTTTTATTTTATTTTTATTATTTTTATTTTTATTTTATTTTTATTATTTTATTTTTATTATTTTTATTTTTATTTTATTTTTATTATTTTTATTTTACTTTTTATTATTTTTATTTTATTTTTTATTATTTATTGATTTCATTTCATTTTTATTATTTTTATTTTATTTTTTATTTTAATTTTATTTTTTATTTTATTTTTATTTTATTTTTCACTGCCTGCTCCGAACCTGAGCATCGCTGCTCTTCCCGATTTCAAAAATAACCTCTCTACCTGGCTGCCAGCTGGAGATGCAATGAATAAATGATATTTAGGAATCTGCAACTTATTGTCTTTACTTGAAGCATTTTTACCAGCTCAATAAGAGGGTAAAATAATATTATCACCAAAAATTCATATCATAAATCCATGCTACCTCCCGGGAAAAAATTCTATTTACACATAATTTAATGGTCAACACGTATCAAAGCTTTAGGGATCATAAATATCTCCTCCCAATAAATCTCATTTACACCTGTAACCTGTTATCCCCATATTTATTTGGCCCTGGGATGACAGAGCTGGTTTATTTGGATTTAACCGCACTGCCTTGGCCGAAAATGTGTATTTTATACTTATTCCGTGTCAGCAAAAGTGTAGGAAGTGCTCAGCTGCAGCAATTCCTGTAAAGGGAGTTTCTCACTGGGAAACAGAAACGCAAAGTGAAATAAAAAACCCCACAACTAAAGAGGCAGCAGCCAGACAATAACGAGGTGCCCTCGATATTACAATTCTCCCTAATTTCACAGATTAACGCGAGTAATTCAGATGTTGAGGTTTCCCTGGTGACAGATTCATCCCGATTTCACCACCTCCCCGCTGAGAAGGGGAAAAGGAATGAACCGCTTGTCCTGGACAAACGAGGAGCGGATCCAGCCAAGTTTTATGGGGGTAAAAGATGTTTTCCCAAGTTTTTAGGTGTTTTTAGTGTTGTCCGTGCCTTGTTTCCCAACTTTAAGCCTTAAAGCAGCGCAGCCCCCGCTCCCTCGGAGCGCCTGAGGGCTGGAGGCTCCGCAGGGCAGCGGCTTCCCGGGAAAACCGGGAATTTATTCCGGGAACGGCGATAAGAATCCAAGCGATAAAGCGCCGCTGCTGCCCCCGCCGTGACGCGTTCCGGAGCGCGCCGGAGAACCGCGAATAAAAGCACGGCAACGCCGGAGCCCTTCCCCGAGAGGCAGCCCCTCACTCACCCCCTCATGGTGAACTTGACCACGGCCAGGCGGGAGCCGGCGGCGCTCAGCTCGGGCTGGAACTCGGTGTCGTTGGCGATCACCTTGACGCCCGCCATGGCCGCGGGCCCCGGTGGCGGTGCCGGGTGCGATGTGCAGCGTCACGGCGGGCAGGACGCCCGGCATGCACCGCTGAGACGGGCGCAGGCGCGGCCGCCCCGCTCCGCTCCCGCCCGGACGCCATCTTGGGGCGGGGCGGCCGGCGGCCATCTTGGGTAGGGGAGGGCGGGAAGGGGGGGGGGGGGAGGGCGCCCGCCGCCATCTTGGGAACGGGCAGGGAGTGAGGCCGTGATGCCGCCGGCCGCCATCTTGGGAACGGGCGAGCGCGGGAATTCCGTGAGGGGAGACGCGCATTTAAATTTTAACATAAACGTTTACTACGAGTTTCGTCATTAAGTGGGGTTTTGGTGACGTCATGGGGATGACCCTCCTGTCTTGCAGGCAGGACTGATGTCAATTTTTGTCACCTTGCTTAAATTGTGTTTTTTAAATAAAGCCAAGCCGTCGCCATACTGAAAAGAATTGTGAAATAAACGCTGAAGCAAAAAGCGGGGGAAATAAGACATGAATTAAGAACTTTCTCTGATCCCTTTTGCAGCGTCATTGCAGACAACTTCCCAACGTACTTTATAACGTGACTTAACAAACGTCACTTCAAGATGTCTCATATTTCCGCCTTTCCTGCTAAAAACCAGGAATACTCCCAGCATTCTGCTCCCGCCCGTTGGAACTGAAAAGCCGCACGGTAATCGCTAATTAATTAATTAAGTAAGCGAGTAATCACCGGCTCCCTGCGCGCCCTCAGCGGAACCCGGCAGTTTCCATGGCGGCGGCGCCTGCCGTTAAGCGCGCCGGCCGGAGCTTTACGGCAGTGCCGCGGGAGGCGCTGTCATCCGGCCGCTGCCGCACCGAGCGCGGCGGGGCCGCGGCGCCCCGGGACACGTGAGGGCCGGGAAAAAGACCGGCACCGGCACCAGCACCGGCACCCAACAGGTACGACTGGGAGCGGGAGGATGGCTCGCTCCTAGCGGGATGAGGGGCGGTGAGCTCGCGGCTCTCCGCAGGCCCCCGCAGCATCCGCGGCGGGAAGCGCTGAGGGGGCTGCGGCGGCGGGAGGGACGCGGCGCTGAGGCAGCCCCGGGAGCCCAGGTATCCCTGCCCCTTCTAACAGAGCAGCATTGGTTTATTGGAATCTATATTGGAATTTCGCCAGGTTTTACCTCGAAACCAGCGCCAGGTTATTAACGGACGGAGGTTTCCATCTCTTACCTAAAGAGAGGCTCCTCACGGGTGATTGATCCTTTTAATGCTAATTTTTTTGCCACCTCGCAGCCCTCCCCGGTTTTATTTCCCTTCCCTGTGCCAGACACGGTGCTCTGGGCACTCGGGGATGGGATTTAGAGTTCTGCAGCTGCTTTGGATAACTGTCCTCTGTGAGTTTGAAGCAGGAAAAATGAATATGGGTTCAGTGTGTCATCAAATTAAGCACCAGGCAAAACTGCGAGTGGCTTCCAAAGGCGTTAATTAATTCAAATCTCGTCCCAAATTAGCATTTCCTTCTCTGCCTTGGTTTGGAACCTCCTGCATACCCAAGGAAGGTGTTTCCATTCCATTCTCTCTCTCTCAATGGTCCCTTTTCTCCATCCTTCAATAATAAATAGAAAGTCTAATCTGTAATTGCATTTAAAATCATTCGATGTTTCTAAATTGCTTGAATAGCCCATTCATAGCTATTTTATACTATTTAACGCTCTTTTGTGCTATTTAATAGTATTTTGGGGGCAGATTATTGGAGTGTGCACACATATCCTGAGATTTAATTCCTTATTTAATGGAAATACAAAGAGTTTGGGAAGAGTTACTCTGGTGTAGCAAAGGCGAAGTTGTTTTTGTTTTGTCTCTTCATGGATTTGTTCTGTCTGGGGGCTTTTCTGGCTGTAAAAATCCGTATTGTTGGTTTCTGGGCAGGCAGCTTGAAAAAGTGTTAAGTACTTGAGTCTTGGACTCGGCATTTAATGCCTTGTACTTGGAAAAATCTGTTTAGTGGCTTTACTGAAATAGGAATTGATCTGGGATTATTAAATGTGCCTCAATCCCACCTTTAAGCAGAGCAGTTCAAAGAGTCACGGGATTATTCTGTCAGGTTAACGCATTATTTAACTTTTTTTGGTTCCTCGTTGAAATAATTGCTTAATTAATATTATCAATAATATTAATATTATTTTAAAATTATTAAAATTACTAAAGTTATTATTAATAATATTTTATTAATGTTTCTTTTGAAATATTTTAATACTGTTTTAATAACAATACCATGTTAATACTATTTCTGTTGAAATATTTTTAAAATCCTGGTTTTGGGAAGGTGTTTTCCCACATCCCTGCGTTTGTTCTGTTTATTGTACAAGATTGTTGCGTGTGTTCCCACATCCCTGCACTCATTGTGCGTGTAAGATTAGAATTATTTCTATATTATACATTTATGGTTATTTGCCATGTCATACGTTTGGAAATTTAAAGTGAAGGGAATAAATACAAAGATTATGGGATAGATATGTGTGTGTATATAAGCAGAATAATCTGCTTATATACTTTATTACAGATTTACATATATACATTTATTGCAAATGCTTTCTTGTGTTTTGGGAAGAAAACCAGGATTTTGGCACTTGTAGAAGTGATAGAGACAAATTTACCCCCTGGAGCCAGAAGGATTAAGAGGAAGAGCTTTACTGGTGACATTTTCCGTTCCAAGTTCCCTTTTCTGCAGGAAATGATGGGTTTGGGGAGTTCTGGATGGCCGTGGAATGATTCCCTGCCTGCTTTTGGGCCCGTTTGCCACCGGGGCAGTGTTGATTTGCTCCTGGACTTTGTCATCACTGATGTCAAAAAATGGAATTATCGATTGGTTTCAGACAAAAAGGGATTTTGGTGCTGGCAGAGGCTGCAGTTGGTGTTTGCTGGGGTTAAGCTCTGCAATTGCCTGGGCAATTAAAATGTGGTTTTTCCTGAAAAGGAAGTGTTTTATGAAGGCCTTGCGCTGCCATAGTCAAAACCTAGAAGGAAAGAGGTAGTTTTTCTTTTTCCTTTCTCTCCCAGAGCCTTGCTATGAGATATTCTGTGGTTGAAATGGGACTGTCAGGGGGTTGACAATGTGTTTTCCACATGGAGAATCTGGGATTTCTTAGGTTAGTTACGTGCCTTGTTAGTTACATGTCTTGTATGTTGTAATATCCTCCTGTATGTTCCTCTCGAAAATCGCCTTGATTCAGGGTTTGGAAATGTTCCGAAGCAGCTTTAAATGCAGAATGATGAGCTGCAGCATCTCAAGCAGTAATTCTGTGCCCTGCCAGGGCACTTTCTGTATTTATTAAAAGATGCAGCTGGTTAGTAGGACAGCAGAGGAGTGGGAAGGGATTTTTGTGTTGCTTATTGGCATTTTTCATCTCCGGTTTAGTCATTTTTTGGTTTGTTTCCTCACAAAAATCGGGTGAGCATTTGTTTGCTGTGGGTGGTTTTGTTCTTGCTGTTGATCTTTGCATTTGGTTCTGTTGCATCTGGGCGCTTTATTGCTGCTTTTGTGCCATTTTTACGATGATTTCCGAGCCTGCTTTATTGTAGCTCTTTGTTTTTCACCCTGTTGTTTAAAATGCTGAATTAATTTCTCTTTCTGCATTGTGATGATCCAGACAGAGCAATTGATCCAGCATTGCATAACAATTAACTCTGCGGGGCCAGGTGTGGTTTGCAGTGCAGAGAAAGACTGGATTTTTGCTCTTTATTGAACCTGACCAGTAAATGCGAGCTCTTAATGAAATAGCTTTTAATGGAGATGGAGCAGTGGGCTGCCAGCAATGAGCTGCTTTACTGGGAAGGCTCATTTGATGTGATATTACTGATTTTGTGCTGTGGATTTTGTGGAAACCCCACAATTGATCCCTGACTTGTCAGGAGCCTCCCGGGAGCCATGTGTAATCCTTAGCCATTCATTATCCTGCCCTGGCTCCCTCCCTTCCCCCTTTTTTCCACAGCTCCCTGGCTGCAGAGGGTGGCAGCACTCATGGAGTGGGATCACAATTCCTGTGGTTTTCACGGCTAAGGAATGTCAGGAATCTGGGTTGGAATGGATGGGTAGCCAGGCTGGAGCAGCCTGGCACACCTTCCACCATCCCAGGTTGCTCCAAGCCCTGTCCAGCCTGGCCTTGCACCCTTCCAGGGATGGACAGGGCTGGCAAACCTCCCAGATGCTGCTGTTTGCCTGTTGGTTCCTTGTATCCATCCCAGGGATACCTGTGGTTATCCCAGCGGGGAGTGGAGCTGGGATCCACACTCACATTCAGGCTGACCTTTATTCTTCTGTCATAATTCACATTTATTCCCTCGGAAGTGCTGTGAAACTGGTTTCCAGACCTGTGAAAAGTGCAAATATTGCTGGGTACCTCATGGTAGAAGAAAGTGTGTATAGCTATAGAAAAAAAAAAAACAGGAAAACACACGTATTTTAAAATAGTTCTCCACGAATCCTGCCTGTTTTGGTGTGTTCATGCTCCTCTAAATCAGAGCTTTAGTTTGTGCTGGGCTGAGTTCAGAGCATAAACCTCCACAAGATAATCCACAAGGAGAGTTTGGTTATTTATTTAACACGACCTTTTTACCGATGAGCAAACCTCAGCTCTGAAACCGTGGAAGTGCTCGGTGAGCTGGGAATGTTGCTACCACAAACACAGGGTTGTTGTGGGGTTTAAATCTTGTGCAAACCCGAGTGGGTTTTATTGCCACAACTTGAGTTTCAATTCCCAGTCGTTGAGACCATTTTGGCCTGGGGACGATTGAAATTCCGCTGTGTTTTTTGTGTCAATACGTTCGGAAGATCCAAAATGTTGCTGTAAAGATAGTGCTGTACCTATTTCCTGCTGGAGAGGGGCCAGGATCCAGTTTAGCGGTGGATTATACAAGGTTGATTTCACCTAAGGCAGGATATTCCGTATTCCAGCATGAGTGTCAGTGTAACAGGGACATAATAACATCAGGAATATAAAAACAACTTCAGCCTTGGGGCTTAAAGCATTCTTTATTTCAAAATTACTCTGAAAAGAGGGATTTGGGCAAAAATCCTTGTGAGTGCACAGGGATGTGCTGTTTGGCCTCTGCCTTTTACTCCCCTCCCTCTTGGTTTGAAGAACAATATTTTGGATTTTGGGAGATTGCAGCCCCCTCCTGTGTAAATAAACAGCACCGTTGCCTCACACCTAGGGGATCATGTCTGTCTGTCCATCTGCTGCATCCTGGGACCCCCACAAATATGAGGGGAAAAGGGCAGGGAGCATGAGGGAAAAAGGGCAGGAAAAACATGAGGGAAAAAGGGGCAGGGAACATGAGGAAAAAGATGGCAAAAATATGAGGGAAAAGGGGTGGAAAACATGAGGGGAAAAGGGCAGGGAACATGAGGAAAAAGATGGCAAAAATATGAGGGAAAAGGGGTGGAAAACATGAGGGGAAAAGATGGCAAAAACATGAGGGGAAAAGATGGCAAAAACATGAGGGGAAAAGGGCGGGAAACATGAGGGGAAGAGATGGCAAAAACGTGTAAAAAAGGGCAGGAAACATGAGGGGAAAAGATGGCAAGAACATGAGGAAAAAAGGGCAGGAAACATGAGGGGAAAATGGTGGGAAACATGAGGGGAAAAGATGGCAAAAACAAAGTTTAAGAGGGCGGGAAACATGAGGGGACAAAATGGCAGAGATGGGCTGGAACAAGATGGTAGAAACATGAGGGGAAAAGATGGCGAGAACATGAGGGAAAAAGATGGCAAAAATATGAGGGAAAAGGGATGGGAAACATGAGGGGGAAAGGGCGGGAACCATGAGGGGAAAAGATGGCGAGAACCTGAGGGAAAAAGATGGCAAAACTATGAGGGCAAAGGGATGGGAAACATGAGGGGGAAAGGGCGGGAAACATGAAGGGAAAAGATGATACAAAGATGAGGGAACAAAGTAGCAGAAACAGAGGGACAAGGTGGTAGAAAGGAGGGGAAAAGATGGCAAAAACATGAGTAAGAAAGGACAGGAAACATGAGGGTGAAACGGTGGGAAACATGAGGGGAAAAGATGGCAAAAACATGAGGGGAAAGGGGTGGGAATCATGAGGGGAAAAGGGCGGGAAACATGAGGGGACCAAATGGCAGAGACAGGCTGGAACAAGATGGTAGAAACACGAGGGGAAAAGATGGCGAGAACATGAGCGAAGGGAAGTTTGCTGATGCGATGATGAAGGGAAGTTTGCCGGGATGTTGCTGATGTTGCTGTGCTGTTGGGATCGCAGGCGCTCCGTGGCCATGGCCGGGAACAGCCTGGTGCTGCCCATCGTGCTGTGGGGCCGGCGAGCCCCCACGCACTGCGTCTCCTCCCTGCTGCTCGTGGATGGCTCTGTCATCGTCACCGGCTGCCATGACGGGCAGATCTGCCTCTGGGACCTGGCTCCTGACCTGCAGGTATCCGCAATTCGCATTCCCAGCCTCTCCTGCCTCTCCCGGTGCTGCTCTGCCCTTCCCTCAGCGCCGTGCCGGGCTACAAAGGGCTATTTTGGCCCTTGGATTCCTTGCTGCTCCTGTAAGAAGATTTTTTTGGAGCTGCTCTAAAGTTGCTTTCTGGTTGAGCTGCGTAATGCTGTGCTACGAGGAGGAGTTCCTTCCCAATATCCCATGTGGCAGTGGGAAGCCATTCCCACTTTTCCTGGCGCTCCATTCCCTGTCCCAAGCCCCTCTCCAGCTCTCTTGGAGTCCCTTTTGGCACTGGAAGGGGCTCTGGGGTCTCCCCTTATTTATGGATTTACAGGAACTCAACTGGGGGAAGCTCTTCATGTGCAGCACCATCTTTTTCATTCAGCCAAACTGCATTTCAATTGAATTGAGCCAAATTCAGCCCTTGATCTGTAAATACCGACAGGGGTTTGCAAAATGCATTTTCCCCCCCAAATTCTCATTCCCAAAGTCTCCCAAGATGCTCCATGCGCTGCTGTGCTAATTAAATGTGTGTGCACGCATCAATGGGTGTATAACACCTGAAGGAGAAAGCTGGGATATGGATATTCGGTCATTTGTGGGATTTTTGACGCCCTCTTTTCTTTCCCTGGTCCCAGATCAATCCCAGAGCTCTGCTCTTTGGCCACACAGCCTCAGTTACTTGTTTGTCCAAGGCCTCGGCATCCAGTGAAAAGCAATATATAGTGAGTGCATCAGAGAGTGGGTGAGTTCCTCAGTGTTTTTTACTGCAGAGCTGCAATAATGGGAATTTCTCCCCAGTTTATCCCTATGTTCAACACTGTGTTTGATTTTTATCCTCAAGAAAAAACTCTTCAGCAAATACATTCTATTTTTTGATTTATTTATTAGCCATAGAGCAGCAGTTTAGAGGTAGAAGCAGGAAGGATTTCCTGTGCAATTGATATCCAAATAGAGATATTTTTTTTTTTTAATCCAGAAAAGGTGGGGAAAGATTTCTTTTAGCAAGGAATTTGAGGAGAAAATGTGTCAAAATTTAGAATTTCCACCTTGGGGGCAGATTTCAGTGCTAAGTAATTCTTCCCATCGGATTTAAAACCAAAATGTGTTTTCACAGGGAATTTATTTTTCTGATGGGAAGAGAAAGCACCTCCCAGATTCTGTTCTGATTCAATTAGAATATGAAGTTTTAAATGAAGAAGCACCGTGAGGGAGGGGGGTAAAACAGGTAAAAATCGCTGCTGGTTTGAGCTCCTGCAGTTCTGTGATTTATCCTCACAGGGAGCAGGAGGTGCTGTGGATTTAGGGGGACTGGAAAGTCCGGTTAATTTGGAGTTTCCCTACAAACAAGGGCTAAAATCCCTAAGAAATGGTTCACAGGAAGTTGCTGGAGGTGGCAGGGTGCTGGGGAGGCTGGCCCGTTTTCCGTGTGGTTTCCATGTGTTTTCCACGTGGTTTCCATGTGTGTTTTCCCTGTGTGTGTTTTCTGTGTATTTTCCCTGTGTTTCCCTGTGTTTCCCTGTGTTTCCCTGTGTTTCCCTGTGTTTCCCTGTGTTTCCCTGTGTTTCCCTGTGTTTCCCTGTGTTTCCCTGTGTTTCCCTGTGTTTCCCTGTGTTTCCCTGTGTTTCCCTGTGTTTCCCTGTGTTTCCCTGTGTTTCCCTGTGTTTCCCTGTGTTTCCCTGTGTTTCCCTGTGTTTCCCTGTGTTTCCCTGTGTTTCCCTGTGTTTCCCTGTGTTTCCCTGTGTTTCCCTGTGTTTCCCTGTGTTTCCCTGTGTTTCCCTGTGTTTCCCTGTGTTTCCCTGTGTTTTCCCTGTGTTTCCCTGTGTTTTCCCTGTGTTTTCCCTGTGTTTTCCCTGTGTTTTCCCTGTGTTTTCCACGTGTTTCTGTGTGTTTCCCTGTGTTTTCCACATGTTTTCCACGTGTTTCCCCACATTTTAGGGAGATGTGCCTGTGGGACGTGAACGACGGCAGGTGCATCGAGTTCACCAAGCTGGCCTGCGCTCACACGGGCATCCAGGTGAGGGATGGCGGGCTGGGAATGCCTCCTGCAGCCTTTGGCAAATCCCCCCCGGCTCCAAAACGAGCTGGGAATCCTCAGAATTCCCAGGGAATCGCCGTTCTCCATGGATTCTAACGTGTGCTTCCTCCATCGGGGCAGTTCTATCAGTTCACAGTCGGCTCGCAGCGGGAAGGGCGGCTCCTGTGCCACGGACATTATCCTGAAATCCTGGTGGTGGATGCAACCAGCCTGGAAGTTCTTTATTCCTTGATATCCAAGATCTCTCCTGACTGGATCAGCTCCATGACCGTCATCCGCTCCAACAGGACACAAGGTGATTATTGCATCCCACAGAGCCCTGTCCAGCCTGGCCTTGGGCAGATCCAGGGGATCCAGGGGCAGCTTTTCTGGGAATCCTGCCCCAGCTGGATCACCTGGAAGTGTCACCTGAGCACAGAAGGTTTCTTCTGCCCGCTGCTGCTAATTCCCTGGTGGCAGAGCAGCCTCTTGTTCGGGTGGTGCGGAATTCCTGAGAGGTTTGGGGAACTCTGAGGAGAAAATCCCAACTAAAGCACTTCTCTCTTGAGTTGTGAACTGGGCATTCCCAAAATCCTGGGGTGGGAGAGCTCAGCTCTCATCCCCACAACAGCTGGAACAACTGGAAATGAGCTCTGCCGCAAAGTGTTTCCTGCTAGTGCCCTCGTTTATTCCTCCTTCCCTGAGCATCTCGGCAAACAAACATTCCATGGGGAAGCAAAGGCTCCGGGAATGCTGGGATCAGGTTTTCATTCCTGCTCAGGAGAGGAAGTCCCTGTGCCTCAGGCTCGTTTTTGTGTTTCCCAGAGGACACCGTGGTGGCCGTGTCCGTGACCGGCATCCTCAAGGTGTGGATCGTCACCTCGGAGCTCAGTCGGGCACAGGTAGGCGAAGGCCGCCGGGTTGGCCGCTCTTCCCGCTGGGATGCAGGATCCTGCTCCTGATACTCTGCTGCTGACAGCCTGTGGAGAATCTCTGCATTTCCCTTCACTGATGGGAGCTGCTGCCAGAATTCCTAATCCTTCTCAGAGAGCTGGTTTCCAAATGAAGGGTGGGATTATGGCCCATTTGTCCAAATCTGGTTTTTATTTGTGCCACGTAACAATTTGGGTTAATGTTTTGCTGAGCAGACCATGCACTTTTTAGGAATATTGCTGTTATCCTGTTATTTGGCATCTCCTGGGTACTAATGAATAAAAGGAGAATGTCTTAGAGGAGATGAAGTAAATCAGCTCCTCACAGAAACCTCTTGTAAGAGATGTTTATCATCTGAGGAGAAATGTCCTGCTGGTTCGGGATCTGCTTCACTGCAGCTTCCTGCCGGGCTGCAAGGCCAGCAGCACTGATCCTGGAGGCTCCAGGAGAACACCAGCTGCTCCTGCAGATCCTCCTGGGATCAGGAACGGGCTCCCAGCCGCCGCAGGGCTCGGGGGGTGCGTGTGGCACCTCGCTGGGAGCGGGCAGGGCAGGCTGAGCGCTGCTTCTCTTTGGTTCAGGACACCAGCCCGGTGTTCGAGGAGGAATCCAAACCCATCTACTGCGAGAACTGCCAGAGCATTTCCTTCTGCTCCTTCACGCAGCGCTCGCTCCTGGTCGTGTGCTCCAAGTACTGGAGGGTAAGGCAGAGCCCCTGGCTCCTTTTCCCTCGGGAATCACAGTTAAACCACATGGAAACGTTGGGCTGCAGGTGCTCCCAGTCTGTCCTGTGTGCCTCTGCTGTGTGTTTAAATATTTCTGGATATTTCAGGGCCCCTGGCTCCTTTTCCCTCTTCAGGAATCACAGTTAAACTCTCTGGTGTGCCTCTGCTGTGTGTTTAAATATTTCTGGATATTTCACCCAAATCTCTGCCTGCGCTCTGGGATTGGAACAGAATGATCCTTAAGGTCTTCTCCAACCCAAAGCATTCCAGGGTTCTGTGGAACCCAAAATCAGCTGCTGCCTGGGCAGCGTGTGTGTGATGTGAGCCAGATTCCTCATTTGGTAATTGTAATTAATTTGAACACTTTGTTTCCCGTTTCCTGGCAGGTTTTTGATGCTGGAGATTATTCCCTGTTATGCTCGGTGCCCAGTGAAAATGGGCAGACCTGGACTGGTGGGGACTTTGTGGCAGCTGATAAAGTGATTGTGTGGACAGAGGATGGACAGAGTTTCATCTATAAATTACCAGCCAGGTACTCAACAAAGAAATACCCCATTTATTTAATTTTTGATTCGTTGGAATCGAACTGAATTAATTGGAGAACTACTGAGATGTTGGTCCAGGAAGGGAAGACGTGTAAATAGAAAACCACAAAATGAATTCAAAATTTGGCATCAAAGAGGTTGAAAATAACAGGAGTAAAACCAGTAAAAGTTTCTGACCTCTTCCTGGGTGGCCATGGTGTCTTACCTTGAACATTCCCACCTAAACCATGGGAATTCCTCCCTCGCCCTGACGTGGTCAGAGCACGAGGGTGACAACCACACCTCGAAATTCCACGAGGATTTTGACTCCTTTCTTTGTTGTTCCACCCAGCTGCCTGCCAGCCAGCGATTCCTTCCGCAGGGATGTGGGGAAAGCCGTGGAGAGCCCCATCCCACCTTTGTTGTACAGCGTGTTGGACAGAGCACAGAAGCAGGTTGGGCTCTCCCTGCGGAGATTTCCCCGTGTCGCTTTTTGTGCCGGGCTCTGAGGCTGTCCTTGTTCTCCCCACAGCTCCTGATCTGTCCTCCTGTGACTCGCTTCTTCCGTGGCCACACACAGCTTGAGTCCAGGCTCTTAATCCAGGGGGATTCCTCAGGGAGACTGAGCATTTGGAGCGTGCCCGACACCCCTGAGCAGCAGCAGGACAGTGCAAAAGGTACCCCACGACCGCTTCTGCTGTTTAAACCCTGCTGCTTCTCCCCACATCTCCAACTTGGATTCTCTCCTCCTTGGAAAACTCTTCCTTAGCGTTATTCTGGCAGGGATTCATTTCCACTGGGTGATCCAGAGTTAAGCTGCTCCAAGGGAGGAATAGGATGGATATTAAGGGAAAGTTTTTTACAAAAGGCTGCGGAACGTTCTGGTGCAGTCACCATCCCGGGATGCGTTTGTAAGAGATGGGATGTGAGGGTTGGCTCCATGATCTGAGATCTCCTCCAGCCTGCTGATCCTGGGATCCCACAGCAGCTCGGGAGAGACCTCAAACACCCCAAACACCCCATTCCAACTCCCAACACTGTTGTCTGAGGGGGTTTTTGGTGGTGGTTTTTGGTTTCTTCAGAGCTGAGCCCTTGGGACACTCCTTCACATGGAGTTTTCTCTTATCTCAGTCCTGTTTTAAGGAGAATATTCCAAAGGCTCCTGCATTTCTTGTGTTTATTCATTTATAATCTAAAGACTCAGCAAAACTTCCCCAGACTTTTTGCTCGAGTTCAGCCCACTACAGCCTGGCTCACTTCAGCTCAAAAGGCACAAAATGGTCTCAAATTGCTCAGTTCTTTTAGCTTTATCCTTATTTTTACCTAATTAACAATAGGTAATTTTTTATCTTTATCCTTATTTTTACCTAATTAACAACCGACATGTAAATTGTTTTTCTTCATGACCCAATGACCTGTGTGCTGCACTGATTTATTCTCTCTCCAATCACCTCCTGCTTCCTAAAAACCTCCAGAAGGGGATGAAGAGACAACACCTTATATCTCCCATCCCTCTCCTCGAGTCTCCTCGAGTCTCCTCGAGTCTCCTCTCCTCTCCTCGAGTCTCCTCTCCTCTCCTCGAGTCTCCTCTCCTCTCCTCGAGTCTCCTCTCCTCTCCTCTCTTGAATTTTTTCACCCAAAAACTCAAATTTCCACACTTTGAGCTTTCCTAGCCAACTTCAAGAGCTGTTTCCACGTAACACCACGAAAACCATCCCGTAAATGTCACGTTGTACGAAATTGGGCGTTGTCCCAGATCCCAGGGACACGGCTGGACTCCTGCCGTTGTTCCCCTGCTGCCATTCCCTCTCCTGTCTCTCAGGCCTGCTGGCAGCCACCTCGGTGTCCCTGCAGGAAGCGTTTGACCGGCTTTGCCCCCGTCCCGCGGGGATCATCGACCAGCTGAGCGCGGTTCCGCACGAGCCCCTGCGCGTCACCGCCAGCGTCTACATGCCGGCGCACGGGCGGCTGGCGTGCGGCCGCGAGGACGGCAGCATCGTCATCGTGCCCGCCACGCAGACCGCCATCGTGCAGCTGCTGCAGGGGGAGCACACCCTGCGCAGAGGTGGGTCACGACCTCGGGATCTCATCCAGGGAAGCTGCAGGGTTCTGGGGAGCAGCGTGGAACGGGCTCCCGTTCACAAAACCATTTATTCAGCACGGGAACAAACCCAGGTCCAGAACAGAGAGCCCCAAACAGAGGCACAGCAGGGGTTTTTGAGGGGCACAACCCCCGAGGCTTTACACCTTTTGATAGTAAAAGGCCTTAAAATCTTAGAAAATTCGGGGACTTAGAAAGAAAGTTAGGTTTGGAGAGCGCTGGGAAAAGCAGGCCCTGGAAATGTTAGGCCTTGTGCTTGCTAAAGATCAGTCCAAACTGCACCTGTGTAATCAATATATGATAAATGATACAATTGTTAGATGTGATTAGATAGAATTATTGTTTAAAGAACATGATGACCAATGTTAGGGGGCTAAGGGGGGATCCATGAAATCCATGCTCGGGTGAAAACAATGCATACAATAGAACAGTGTAAGTTTAATAATTAATATGTACGTTGTATAACGATAGAGTATAAAACATGTTCAACTCGAAAACCCAAGTGGGGTCAGATTTGGGTCTGTGTACCCCTGACACCCAGAGCTCTTTAAATAAAGCACCTTCATATAACCATTCTTGGTTACGTGTGTTCCTGGACGCTGACACTCTGAGGGTGGAGCTCAGGCTCGGGGAGCACCAGAAACACACCAAGGCAGAACCCCCAGGGACACAAACACAGTCAGAACCCCTGGGCCGCCCTTCACAGGGGGTTTGGGGTGGGACAGCGTTAACTCTTTGTCTCCCTGAGGCCACTGCCACAGAGGTGGGTGGGGAGAGCCCGTCCAGCCCAGCCAACACCCCCTGCTTCTGCTGAATTCCCCTTTCTCCTCTCTTTTCGGGCAGGCTGGCCCCCTCACAGGACGCTGCGAGGCCACCGGAACAAGGTCACCTGTTTGCTGTACCCTCACCAGGTGTCCTCCCGCTACGACCAGAGGTTCCTGATCTCGGGCGGCGTGGATTTCTCCGTCATCGTCTGGGATATCTTCTCCGGAGAGATGAAACACATCTTCTGTGTGCACGGCGGGGAAATCACCCAGCTGCTGGTGCCGCCGGAAAACTGCAGCGTGAGTTCTGCGGGATAACCTTCCCTGCACCGGGGGAGTGCAGGAGCTGCCAAGCCTCCCAGCTCCTGCAACAGCTTCACATAAACACCTGGATTATCCTCTTAGCCGTGCTTTCCTCCATCGTGTTTTGTTTATAGGAAGGATGGAAAATAGGGGCTTCATTAAACCTGCTGAAAACAGGCTTTAGGGACAATTTTACCTCTTGAAACTTAGCTGAAGAAATAGAATTTAACAAGCTAAGTTGATTGTTTTGCTAAGCAAAGCCTGCAGTTTTCAAGGTTTAACACCCATTTGCCGTGAGGTTGTGAAAAACGAGGTTCACATGATTTTTATAGAATGTAGGAGTTTAATTAAAAAAACAATTAGGAGAAAAAAATAAAGTATACAGATAGGGCCGGGTGTGTCTGCATTCACCTCAGTGACAAAGGATTGTCCCTTAAAAACAGAACCCTGCTACATATCCAGAAATTCTTATACATATCCAGA